CTACACGTGCTATACATTATAGTTCATATCTTACCGCCAGCCAAAAGATATTTCCACCACTTGGGCCGGTTGTCTCCCTTCACTTCGGGCATGAACACGGCGTCACCGGTTTCATAGTACGTAGACTGTTGCCTTGAAATGAGTATAAGTGAGTGTAATATAAATATAAATTATGAGGGTAAATTATAGTATACGAGTCCTTTGTTTGTACCAAAAACAGAGTATGGCTATGTATTATATATTGTCATGTGGTCTCACAGTGTTTAAGCACAATATCAGCTGGAGACCGATCGAGAAGAAGACCATTTGACGTATCAAGGTGCAATGGTGACACCGCTGAGCAATCCTAAACCCTAAAATTCTAAATCGTATATATCTAAAACCCTATAAAATCCAAAACCCTGACAATTAAAACCCCTAGAAACCCACATTCAACATTCAAATGCACCACAAGGCCGTTTCAGGTCCAGAAAATTGGAATTAACAAGTGCCAAAAGTGTCACCAGAACGACACACAGGTGTTGATCGCACGACACAGGTCAACAAATGAGGAGACGTCTGTGGGTAGTCACTCTCCTATACAGAATATTTTGACATGACGTGTGCAAATAAAGGAAAAAAGGGTTTGCCTATTTGTACATATATACACATACCTCTATGTACATACGCATATAATATATCTGACTATCCATTCGTGTTTATGCATAAGTATATATATACATACGTATACGTATACATAAGTATACGCGTACAAGTGTATAGTAGTATACGTACATATCCGCTAGCGCACGTGTCTAATTAATTGCACACAAGGACACACCAACTCTATCTGTACACACAGTTATACGTATACAATAGTATGACACTATATATACTTAGCCGATTGCAGATATGGCTAATCTACTGCACACAGAACACACCAGCCCTCAAAAATCTCTTTTACAGACGAGTACGGCGTGATGAGAAAGAAGTCGCGGAATTCGTTGTAGGTTATTCTGCCATCGCCATTCTGTGGGGATGTGCGGGTGTTAGCAAATGAAATGGTGAATATGAACATACACACACACTCACACATATATATATATGTATATATATATATATTTATATAATATATATATATATATATATATATATACGTATATTTTTATACAT